GTATAAACAGCGATATTTTTGAACAATTTATACCAGGTTACATGGAAGATGAAGTTACTTTAATGCACTTCTATTTTCTTTGCTGATAACATTAGAAAACATTTTTAACTCCCCACATTAGCAAATAATATTTTCATTTACTTTTCCTTGCCAGTAATATTTAGTCAAAAATTAAATATGTTTGGGTTTTGCAGGAAACGTCAGGTCAATGCTGTTTGAGCAAGGAACCGTTTTCATTTTTCAGCATAGGCTTACAAAATCAACAAGAACACCAACATCAGCCGCACATGTCGCTGGAATTTAAAGGACACCAACCTTTTCAGTGAGGATTATCTTTGGTCTTCTTTCTGCGGCATTACCATGTCAGACACCGGTCGAAACTAAAAACAATTCAGACGTTCAGCACTTAAGGCCCTCAGTGTACGTGTATGGCAGCTTTGCATTTTGCAAACCAAATCCATTTTTGCTTTTTATACGGTTCATTTCTGTAGGCAAATTCTTTCACTGCCCTGTCTCTGATGTCTCTGTTTGTTAGCAAAGAACACAGAAAAGATATGAGCGCAGTATCGAACACAACAGTGTAATTTAACAAAATACTTTAAGAAAACTCATGCCTATTGTATATTATAATCCTGGTTTAGTCTAATTAGATCTTTTGCAGTTAATTTACTTCTAAAGTTCATCAGTACTTCATAGACTTCCCATGTCATCTTTTGTTTAATGATGGGATTCAGTTTCACTTAGCAATTTCAATCGGTTTTTACCCCAAAAAATCATTTCTAATTAGGGAACAAGGGTCTGTTATAAAGGCAATGGGAGAGCGTTTCATCACAGATGATCACAAGGTGATGCTTTCACAACCTCCCCCCCCCCCCCCACCCCCACCCCCGTGTTCAGTGATCTGTCGACATCACATTTAATCAACTTCTGATGCTGCATTAGCAATGAAGATGAAGTGGAGAATCTTTTCAAAAATGAATAACTCAGAGTAGGCCTGGTTCCTGCCTTTTTCTAATAAGCTTTCCATTAAGTTTGTAGATGGAACATCCCACATGTGACATGGGTGGATGACAGGTGGATCAAAAGCTTTGGAAGTTTTGCATGCTGCAAAACAAGCTCATGGTTTGTCATTCTTTTTTATGGGTCATTTATATATTTCATCATTACTCACTTCATTACTTACTTCATTTTCAAAGCAGTCAGAGCACAGACTGAGGGTTCCGGTCCTCAGTCTGTATGAAATACAAATTAGATGGGAACCGAGTGCTTTTTAGCCATCTTCCCTTTGAAATGTGTTTTTATATCCATTGATGCTGCATTTTACCTTGCCCCTTAATGAGTTTGATTCCAACCAATTTTGGAGGAAATACAACAGACTCTGTAAAAGCTTAGTTTTACAACTGAAAAGTGTGCTTCTGTGGAAGAATATCACAATTACATTTCTTTGGGATCCTATTGGCACCCATGTGAATTAATAATATAATTTAACTCTTGCTAATTTATGTAACTACAATCAGTCAGGTAGACACAACACAAAGGGAAAATAAGTGTGCATTACCAGGAGAGCAACAGAAATGTTTTTCAATACTTACGTCCCAAAGCCATCTTTCATAAGACTGGAATTCTAACATGGTAAGACTATTACAGAGATCATAACAACAGGCAAGTCACCAAATGATCGGACACCTCATTTATTTCAGATGTCTAATTGATGGAGGACATTGGCAAACAGATTAAAATAGCTTTTGCTTCTGCCAAATGCCCTAACTCTTAATTTAGGAGTATCACAGAAAATAGTTAGTAAAAAGGTTTGTGCATGAGGGTGGAAATATGAACCAAATGTTCAAATAACTATAAGCAGACATTAGCTGGCTTAATGCATAGGTAAAATATTTAACATTAACATTCAATCTTTCTCTGCATACTCACATTTCATTCAAAAGTTTATTCTGTCAACTTCAGTTAATGCATTTTTTCACTTTGATTTGATAGCAAATCAAAGACATTTTAAACAACCTCAACTGTTAGTTGTGTTTGAGTGAAAGACTAAATATAGAAGTTTCAATAAGCCAATTTTATCTAAAAGGAACAAAACATAAGAAATACTCTTAAAACCTGAATTGATTTTCCTGATATTTTTTATTTACAGCTTCTGTAACGTCGTTTTTTTTACTTCTTTGAACAAATTCTTCAGTGGATGTTTTTTTATTGAAACGTGGTCATTTTCTTGCCCTTTGTAGAAACAACAGAGGTAACACCAGGCTGCTTGGTAAATTAAACCAGACACAAGCTGCCATTATCACACAATCAGTGTGTTCCCCCCACCAAAACAGAACCTCCCAAGTCACATTCGAGAAAAACCTCACGATTAAGACTCCCAGAATGGTCACAATGCTGTAAAATGCCCTCAGCTTGGATTGGTCAACCCTTTCCCTGCCTGCGTCCTTTTCCCCTGGGCCTGGACGAATGAGAACGCAGAGAGCAGAAAGACTGCAGAATGTGATCAGTGTTAAGGATAATATCAATAGGCTGATATCCACGATGGAAAAAACGTTGGTCATCATCATCAAACCCATTCCAGCTAGGCTGAGCAGCCAGGCACAGCCGATGCCGGCGTTTCGGATTCTGACCCCTTTTTCATTCCTCAGCCTCAGGTAGGTTATGGGACACGCAACCGCCAGGTAGCGCTCCGCACATGTCAGAATGTGGAAGAATATTTGTCCGTACCAGGTGATGGAAGTAAAAAAGCCTGCCACAAACAACAGCTGGAAGTCATGTCTGCAGATACCGGCAAAGTTGAGGATGTACCCAAAGACACCGATCAGCTCCATGGTGACCATGTTGTAGGTGAAGCAGTCCGAGTGGCTCACTGTTGGCGAGGGGTGCTTGTGCAGCGACTGCTGGAGCCCTCGGTAAAGGACGACTGTGCACAGAGGGAGAAGGAGGAGCAGGGTGGTGATGTCGATGGAGATGAAGATAAACGAGCTTGGTCTGGAAACGAGGCACGCCGTGTATAAGGACAGGGAAGAGTTGGCTGCTGAAGGGGAGAGGGAGTCAGTGGGAGATGACGATCTGTTCGCTGACATTTCTGCAAAAGAAATGAAAAAATTAAGTTTTCTTAGATTTGTCTGTTAAAAAAAGAAAAATAGAAAGCAGGTCTTTCAGGCTGGACTGTCAATGATTTGGGCTCCACCAATATTTGAAACAGCAGTTAAAAAAATAATGAAAGAAAAACACTTTATCAAAAGAAAGATAAATAAATAAATGATTGACTGGTCTGGTATTCCAAATTGCCAACAGTTATAAATCATTTAACAACAACAAGTATCTATTTGATCACAAAAAGTCTTGGAATTATTTGGTTATTTATTCCCTCCAGCAGATGTGTGACAGTGTTAAGTGAATTGAATTCATTTGAGATATTTTAATCAAGCAAACTGAGGTAACATTAACTTGGTAAAGATTTTCACAAATGGTACAGAATATTTTTTTCTTCTTTCTTTCAAACCCTCCACAAGACAAATGAACATATGCAGACCAGAGAACACCCACCTTGCCAATAGACTTTCCTCCAGGCCATCCTCCTGCTGTATTACAGAAACAGAGGCTGGTCTTCAATGAAATATGGTCCCATTCCACAACTTATATATATATAGCAGCATTTGGGTTAGACATCATTTATGTAAAACATTGTGTGCATGTTTGTGTTTGTTTGCACGCTCCAAAACAAATTCAGTCTTAGTCATATTTCCGTTCCTTCATGGTTCATTTCACAAGGCAAATTTTCTCTGGGCTTCCTCTGTTTCTTAGTGGACCAGCACGCAAGCTGCCCGTTTAGCACATGGAGTGGATCAAGAGTCCAAAGCAGGGAGAAGTTTTTGCCCACAGCACTACAATTCCTATCCAGACATGTGTTCAGACTCTCCCTTTTTATCTCAAACTGGAAAATGTCAGACACATAACTGTTGTGATTCTGTTGAATGTAGATGCTGTCAGTTTGGAACCTAGTTTGTAATGAAGAACTCTGTTTATAGTTTGATACTTATTTGAGATCTTGACAACATGATTGTGGTGGACTTTGCTTTCTAAAAAATAAGACCACAATTTTCCATCAGTTTCTGATTGCACCTGGTTTCTGAAGAAATTCAACATTTAAGTTTAATTTTAGGTTGTGATTTTTACTTTTAGACCATATGTACAAAAAAAACAACTACTTCCATTTTTCTTTGAATGGGGGCAAATTCGTACAGCAGGTGTCAGTATTTGTCTGACCTCACCAATGTCATTTCAACCTACTTCCCAGTTTATGAGAGATCTGGTTTAAGAATTCAGCTGATATTTAATTAATTAAAGATCATCTATCTTGTCACACCTCTAAACAAATATTCTGGAAAACCTTTTACTAAAAAACAGGGCTCGGAATCTGAGGGAAAGACCTGACTTTTGTTGTTCTGAAGTTCATTAGTTTTTATGAATCTTCTTTTTAACATTTATGTTTTCATTGAATTTGATCTTTTGACATTCAACCTTTATATTTCTAATGTTATTGAAAAAGAAAATGTATTTATTTATGAATGTATATCATCAATTTCTTTCTGTTTTTTCACACTCTAGTTTGTGTTTATCTCCAAAATTCCAGAAAAGCCAATACGTAAACGAAAAGATTAAAAAAATTAACATAAATGTTTACCCTTTCTTTTTTCCTCTTTACATTTTGCTCCTTTAGATCTTTTACAGGCACTTTGTACCCTTCTTAAATTTTCTATACAGCTTTTACCTGAATAATCTTTTTCCAAAAAACACAAAAACAACAACAAAAACAAAAAAAACACCATATCTGGCTCAACTCCCTCTCATACACATGCTGATCCACAGGGGGAGTTTCCTGTCTGACAGAGCCCAGGCAGAATGGGAGGAGTGAGGAGGAAGAGGAGGAGGAGGGAAAAAGAGGGAGGAGAGGAGGGAAGGAATGTCCGAGCAGAGGCATTGTGTTTGTTATCGCGCCGCCAAAGAGAGGAGGGAGGAGTGACTCTGCTGGGAAGTAGAAACTCGCTCTGAGGGAGGTGTGACTCACTTACTCAGCCTTCGATGGACACGCAGCTCTTCTGCCATGTGTGCATAGAAAGCGCTCAGGCTTGCTGACTGATGACAGCAGGTTTTTCACCACAGACAGAGAGCCAGTGCCTGGAAGTCAACAGACGCTAAATCATGGGGAAGTTTTCAATTCCTGGCCTTCAGGTTCAACTCCTCTGACTGAACACTGGATCCGAGTGGAGAGTGAAGTCTTTATCGGCTCATCTGAATCCACCACACCTGCTTTCATTTAAACTTTTTGGACTGAACGTCAAAGGTGGGCTTGAACTAAACAGAGGCCTTGTTTTTTCTCACAAGGTGAACAGACTTTGGCACCTCAGTGACTGACTTGAAACTTCATTGGTCTGCCCTGACAGCTGGAAATACCACCTGACGGAGTGGAAGTTCATCAGTTTCCCTGACGCCGGATCACCTGCTCGAAGGCCCTTTTTAATGACTCTGTGACCGATTCAAGGAGCTGTTTTGACCGGGGTCAGGATGAGCGGAGCGGAGGAAGTGGTGTGTGAAGGATGGCTGCGGAAATCGCCGCCAGAGAAAAAGCTACGGCGCTACGTGAGTAATTCTCTCTATAAAAGCACCAACTAAGGTCGGTGTGTGACATAGATGATATCTGTCAGCTTTAGTGTGTAGATTTACAGTTGAAGTCGTCATTCATTCAAAGGCACTCCTGCAAAAGGGCCGGCTGGATGCCCTCCTGAGCATCGTTCCAATTAGGTTTGAAGTTTATCATTGTGTGTCATCACTGTTGATACAAGAAGTCATTTCCTAAAGCTGTACAGGCTGGATTACAAAGCAATAAAACACGCAGCAGGACACAGCTGTCAGCTGTTACACAGAAAATAACCCTGGGCTCTAGCCCGACTTTGGTTTGTCAAGCCTAGGACGACAGGTGTGATACGAAAAGTCATTTGGTAGTTTGGCGTAAAAACAATTACTTTTTCCTTAACCGCAGAAATGTGAAGTGTGTTGAATCATTCAAATTCAAAACCCGACGGCTGCCTTTGCACCTGGAACTGATGCCAGAGACCTGGCTTTTATCAGCTGCTGGACCGATTGTTCTACAAAAAGCAAGAGCCTATATTAAAAAACAGCACATGGTTGTTCGTCTAGGGGCTCCTTCCTCTTCCAGTCAAGCGGTGGCTCAGTTAACACACACATACACACACCGCATTTCTTACATGCCATGCCCGTGAGCTGGGCTAATCTCTCTCCTTTCTGTATTTCCTCTTAATCTTTCCGTTTGCACTGGATGCTTAGGTCTTTTTTCTGTTTTGTTTTCCAACTAGGCCTCTTGGTCTCATTCCTCTTTCATTCATTGTCCTTTCTTCCTTATGTTATATCAGTTGGCTCCTTTTCTCAAAAGAGTATGCGTGTAAGTACAGAGAAGGAGGAATAAGAAAGGCAAGGGGAACAGCTTTTTACATATTTTTTCAATATTATCAGACTTTAAAGATCTTTCTCGCCCCCCTTGGTAACTTTTTAACCATTTTTGTGGAGAAAAAAGGGGTGGGATAGGGGGCCGGGGGGGGGGGTTGACATTATGGAAAAAAAGTTTCTCTTCATGTCTCGATTAAGTACAGTGAAGCCACCCAAAGTTTGCGGCCATCATTAACTGTGATCATTCTGGCTGAGTTCAGTGAATCAAATCCACTCCTTGGAGGGAGGGTTTTTCTAGAGGCTGCAAAAAAAACCTGCTCACGTCCCACTTTCCTCATCCATCCACTAGAAAAGTGACCTCTCCGATGAAAGTGAAGAGTGGTTCAAATGAAGAGCCCGCTGTTGGGACTGTAAATACATTCGATCATGATGGTATATACAACCCGTGTGTACACACAATCTGGCCAGCTGTGTTTCTATTGTCAACTCGCACTCATAAACACACACGCACACACACACAAAGGGGGCTGTAATGGCAGCAGCAGATGGCACATGTTCAGCGTACCTCACCATACACTCCCTGCTCTGTTGAAGGGTGTGTGTGTGTTATGTAATGAACTAATCGCTCTCAGCTGGGCCTGCATGGAAGAGGGGGGCCTCCCTGAAGATTTAGAAGATTTGGAAAGACACACACACACACACACACACACACACACACACACACTCACAGATGGAGCAGAACCACGGAGCAGAATGATGTCAATTCTGTAACCCCGAGTACAATAACAAGTCAATCACAGTTAAAGACAAGCTGGAACTGCAAAGGTCTCCAGTCACATGTACGGCTTTGGCCTTGTCATAGAGTCATGTTTTCCATCGGACTAATGCTCCACTGTTCATGAGCTGATCCCTTCTGGCCTCCATCTTGGACATTTTCACTGGATTCAAAGCTTAAACTTCTCAAGCTGATTTCATTTAACAAATTTAGGAAGAAGCGGATTTTCTGACGACATTTACTGTGGTCAGCTCTGCAAAAGCCTGTCCAAATATGTAGCATCACTGAGCTCGATATTTCCCGTTTTATGTTTTCCTGTTCTTAAAGATGGAATTTGCCTATTAAATTTGTTTTTGTTTCTTTTAATTGATTTTTCATTTAAATAGTTGGAAAGATTCCCAGTTAGGTCACTCAGGAGCAAAGACTGTTAACAGTGACCCCTGGCTAACTGATGGCGTTGCGTGATGAAACGTTAGTGGTGACTAAAGCCGTAATAATTGTAGTAAATAAGGAACTGATTGAAGGGGAAATTTATTATTCGGGTCTTGTGTTAATTTTGGTTTTGAGACAGGATGGAGGAAGTGTTATTTTAGAGCCATTGTGCCAACTTCCTGCAGGGGTCAAAGGTCAATGAGGGAGCATAATGAAATGTAAGGAGTAAGAGACTATGGCAGGAAAAGACGTGGTTATTACTTTTCAATGCACAGCTCAAACCGATGTATCAATTCACAACAAGCTAATATGTTAAGCTTAAAGCTGCTCCTCATCCAGCCACTATGGAGTTGTTTAGGTATCTGTAGGAACATTATAACCTGCCATGGGTAGTGAGCAATAGTTGAAGTCTTACACAGCCAAAGAAAACCCTTTGCTAGCAATTGCTTCTGTAAAAGTTCAGCTCTGGTCCCACTTTTTGGGTGTTATTTGTTTTCTTTGTTGACTAAAAAGAAAACCGAAACACCGGCCCTCAAACTGAAAAACCCCCGGTTCCTGTTTTCTCACAGTTTCTCAGTGAGGTTTTTATTACATTCTTCTGTTTTTCTGTGATTTCTTAACTATTGAAGTAATCTTGTCATTGGATGTCTGAAGTGTCTGCTTTCTCATTCAACAAATTTAACAATGGTGAGAAGCAGAAATGGACCTGAGGAATCTTTCCACCCATTCCTTTGCCACTTATTATCCACATAAACGCCAGTTGAACCTTATGCTCTCCCACATCACTCCCCTTTCACCTCATTTTGGAACATCACCCAAAACAATTTAAGTGTCATAGCAAAGAAGCTATTGTCACTTTCTCTGATGAAGAATGATTGCTGAAAGTTTTTAGGTCTGGCAACACAAATAACTATTGAATAAATGCAAAACTTACAAAGGCACCTTTACATTTCTTTCTTCAACCCACCTAACATTCAAGGCATCTAAGCCACAACACTCAGGACACCAAACTCACTTTAATCAGAGTAAAGAAGCATCAACTTTTGGCATATTGAGAGAAAGCAACAATTTTGTTGAGGAGTTTTATATTTCCTTATCACAGTGTTTTGTGCTGTTTCAGAGTTTCCTCTGCTCAAAAGTGCAGCTTAATAATAATAATAAGTTTTAAAAAAGCTGTGCTGTTCTCAAATGCGGGAGCCGGCATGAAAAGCCAGATCTAAAAATAACTGTCAAATAGTTTCTTTATTTAGAAAGTGCAGAAAAATATTTTCATATGTGCTGTGGCCACCCTGCTGCTTTCATCTGCCCAGAAGCCTGAAGACAACTGATCATCAAACAGACCCAGAATAAACGCACACTTCCATTGCCATCTCTGACCAGCATTTCCTGTTCAGCTACTTCCTCTTCCTGTCAGTGTTTGGAGAGAAAAAGAGGGGGATATTTGCTTCACAGTACTTAATTGCTGCACACTTTGATTACACACACACACACACACACATGCACAAGCACACTAATAGAGTCTCAAGCCTGTAGAGTCCTGTTGACTGTGTTAGGAAACTCTCATCTGCAAGGATCAAGAGATATGGATTTATAGGGCTGGTGGAAAATTTCTCTCCCCTGCCACACATGAACCCAGTAGCATACAAGCCATTAAAGAAGGACAATGTTTTCAGTCTCTTTTCCAGACTATTCACTCTTTCCTTTTGCCAAACTTATGAAGCGACGTTCGATGAATCCTTGAAACAAAAGCCAAAGTCCTCATCCTCTTACTACCGATACATGCTGATAACAAAATGAAAACCCTGCTCCACTCTCCACTTCACACCTTTGAATAACCGTGGTGTGTCTTCTGCAGTCTACCTACACACCAACAGTCCACGCAGGTGTCGAGTCATGTTTGAAAGATGACGTGTCGGTCTGCGGATCGCTGGTGGGAGGCGGACTCTGCCATAACGCATTGTAGCAGGAGCAGGAGCTCAGCAGAATTCTGCAGATCTCTGAATCCACATTTAACTGACGTTGGTGTTCACTGGAGTGTGACACCTTCGACATGGGAGAAAGACAACAGCAATTTCAGGAGTTTGAGTGTGGGAGGAAAAGGTTAAATGCATTACTTCATCTGACCTAACAAACACCATCCGAGTTTCAGAAGCACAGTTACTGGAGACAGATTCTGAACATCATAAAAAGAGTTGGAGGATCTAATGTTGTGTGCTGATATATTGTTTTGTTTTTTTATTTATCAAAACCCGATTTAATAGCCTCTTCAACCTTCAGTGAAAACTGTGTCTGTCCGTTCAGGCGTGGAAGAGACGCTGGTTTGTGCTGCGAAGTGGGCGACTGAGTGGCGAGCCGGATGTCCTGCAGTACTACAAGAACCAGCAGTCCCGCCAGCCAATCAGGACCATCAACCTGAGCCTGTGTGAGCAGGTAAAGCCATGATGAAACGCTCCTGTTTCAAGGGTGGGTTCAAAAGTTGGGTTAAGCATATGAACGCTCTGACAAAGCCCCCCCTATCCTGCAGGTGGATGCTGGCCTGTCATTCACAAAGAAAGAGCTGGAGAGCAGCTACGTTTTCGACCTGAGGACAGAGGAGAGGACGTGGTACCTGGTAGCAGAGTCGGAGGAGGACATGAACCGCTGGGTGACATCCATATGCCTGCTCTGTGGCTTCAACCCCACGGATGAAAGTACGAACAGGATGAGATGAGCGATCATACGTAACATATAACATTCTTGTTTTGCATGTGAAACGGTTAAGAGTGAGCCGGCGTGTGGGCCGGGATTGAGTCAGTGTGAAAACAAGTGGGAGGAGAGAAAAAGATGGACAAAAACGACTTGAGATGCCAGTCAATGACTCATTAGTATTAAAAGATAAACAAACATCGCACTTTGTGTTACAGCTTTGCGCTATTCCCAACCAATCGAATGTTTGGACACATCCGCTCATTCAAGATGGATGGAAAAGTGTTTCCAGTCTTTTGACTGATGGTGTGCACTCATTTTAACTGTTAATACAACTGTAATACAAATAAGATCCTTTAAAATCTTGATTTGTCGTATATGTATTTGCCTCAAGATTCCTTATAATATATCTTTTTTTTTAATACTACCAAGTAAAGCCAAATGACACTGTTGTTCTTGTGAAATAACTATGTATATATATATAACTATATTTCTAACATTAAATGTGTTTAGATTGTCAACTGTAATATGACTATAGAAAAAATGATGCTGTGCATACCAAAACTCGCTTAAGTTTATTTTGGGACCCTAAGTCCCTTATCTATACAACTTAGCTCAACTTTAAAAAATGGCACATACCTTGTGATTTCCCCTGATAATGTCAAATGCAAAGCAAACTTTTCAGAGGAAGAAATCAGCACGACTTTGCTCATGGAAGAAAATGCAAATTATTTAGCGATCTGCTGCCTTGACCATGGTGGAAGGAAGGAACCGTGCCTGCTAATGGAAATGTTTTAGTGTGCTAACAGTATTAAAAAATTATCATAATAATGAAATAATAATAACACACACAGATAAAAGTGTACGTCCGTGCTCACAGTGTCATTATCAAAATTTATAATACATGTCTACTGACGTCACTGTCAGATGAAAATAAAAATGTTTGAATTGAGGACAACCCAAAAAGAAAACAACCTTAAAATAAACTTAGCTAAACTTATTTCTTATCAACGAAATCAGAAATACCATAATTGGTTTTGATATATTTCCTCTCCAAGAACACAAAACAATTGCAAATCTCCCCTTGAAGCTTTTAACCTGTTTATTTCATTTTCTTCTTTTTTTTGTGTAATAGCTCCAGATAGACATTCAACCTCCAGCTCCGCCTCCACAACCAGTGGCACCCCTACTAGCTCAACCGTGTCAGGGTCTGTCCCCCCGCCCTATGACCCGGTTAGCGTGCGGCACCTGGGGCATGACAGCAGCACAGAGGAGGATTATCTGTGGTTATCAAACTGCCAGAGTCACACCAGGTAAACAAACACCTCCGCCAAGCAAAACCCTTTGGCAATAAAACAAATGAACACAGTCAAATGAATAAGCCCTTTGAGGATGTTAAATGAGTTTGTGACCCGTAAACTTGGGAAACGTGTTTGAAATCACCTGTGTTTCTGAGAAGGGTTTCATTTTTTTAAGCAAATATGCCGAAACTAATATTGAAACAAGCAACGCTACCAGGTTCACAGGTTTAGACAAGTGGGTACCTCAGGGAGAGGATTAGAGGTTTATATTGGATCACACCCACAGATTTCTCACTCCACAGGGCCTTACATAAAAAAAACACAAAAAAACATAAATTTTCTACAAAAAGATTCTGATCTCTCAGGTTAAGTTGGTTTTCATTTGGAAGCAAATACAATAGTAGTAAAATAGTTATACAGTGACAACACCGTTTTTAATGACAGGTCATGTTGACTATGTCTTGTAAAATATATATGTCTATATTCCACCTAATCCCTCCTTGTGTTTTCCTCTCTGTCTCCAGGCCTTCCTTAGGCTCCTCCGCCTCTCTTGAGACAGACTACAATGACAGCCTCTACCCTCCTCCTGCCACCTCCTCCTCCTCGTCCTCTTCCTCCTCTCCTTCCCTCATCCCCGGCAGCCTGCCGCCTCTTTCCTCCTCCAGCTTTAAGGCCGCCCCCTGGACGCTGGCGGCTTCCACCAGCCCTCTCAGCCAGTCTCTGGATGCCGGCACGACCCCGGACCTCCAGAGGCGGGCCGGCAGAGCTCGCTGCCACCCCTCTCCCCATCCCAGAAAGCACTCTCTGGATTTCCACCTGCGTCCGGTGGCCATACCTCTGATCGATGACACACACACGCATCCAGGTGCACAACCACAGACCACCAGCAGCTACCAGATACCCCGCTTGGCCTCCACTCCCCAGCAGCCTCTCCCTCGCCGTCCCTCCTCCACCCCAAGCGTGGACTCCCTAACGCAGGCGGAGCTCAGCACATCCATCTCAACTCCTCCTCCTCGACCACCCAAGCCCCCTGCCCTGGCGGCCCAGGGAGAGGGCTGGAGCATGGGGCGTGCGACCCTGCCCCGAACAAACTCAGATCCAGAGCGGAGGGATGAGTACATGGATGGGGAGGGATACTTTCTAAGGAGCAACACAATCACCACCCCGGGATGCACAGGGACCAGTAAGAAAAACGCCCTCAGAATTGTCATTCAGTTCTTTGTTTTTCTGAGAGTATGACTATGACATACAAAGGTCAGCAGCCTGTCAACAACAGCAACACAGAATGCAAGCCATGTTTTATGATCTATGACATATTCAAATGAGATCACATTACATTGGACTCAAATCAAGTGTAAAATATCCTCCTATTTCTAAACAAAGATTGTATTTCCTTCACAACAGTAAACCTAAAACTTGCTAAAAACCCGACAATGAAAAAAGAAGGCTTGATTAACAAACTCTTGAGCACAAATCGCCTTTATAAAAGGTCGTTGTTCATATTTAGACGGTGCATGTAGAAAGGTTTGGGAGGGTGCCACCGATCGTTCACCTCAAAAGCATCCGTAGTGTTGTTTCATTTCACATACATAGGTTACACAAGGACAAAAGGCTGAGGCGTATGAGACTTAGCACACCAAATGTATACAAAGAACATATGATGTCTTTTTCATATTTAACTGCTGTGGCTGCATCATCAACAAATACGTGGAGAGCTTGAACCTTGGTACCTCAAAGGAGATCAGGACTAGTTAAGAACAGTTAAGAGGCTTTATTGGGCTGACGTGTTCGCATTGATGGATTATTTCCTTGCAGCTGAAACACTCTGAGCTTGTTTGCCCCATCACTTGATTGGCATTAGAGCCCATAAAAGGATGAGACCTCTTTTCTCCCTCCTGCTGCTATAAGATATCTTTCAGCAGGAACTCTTTAAAAGTCCTTTGTGAAAAACGTTCTTGACGGAGACGCAGTGAGTAACGAAGATTAGGACAGTGTTTAGAGGCTCAACTGCCTCTATCTGAACATGCTCAGGCAGGATGTTTTGCCTCTGCCACACTCACTGCCCATCGACATTCAAATCTAGTCAAGCTCTGATTAGAAAATAACTAGTTCTCAAGATGCTTTATGTGCCATTTGCACACATGAGCTCAGAAGGAATTCTTGGGGAATTCTTATGCTGAACTCAGGAGTGAAGTGTGGCATGCCTTATATGATCACCATCCAAAAATGTGAAAACACGCCCTCAAATTACATACAGAGGCCTGCTAGTTGTCAATGGCTTCATTTTCTAACTCTGACACGTGTGTACATTGTGAGATCCTTTCTAGATGCACAGACTGCCTTTTAAAGACAGATCAGGAGGCAGCTGAGTAAAGAGAGGGCCTCTGGGATTTAAAGTTAGCTCTGAGCCAGCGTAGTTTACCTCTCTGTTCTCTGTGTTTCAGGTTGTGAATCTTTTCACATTCCTCGGTCTCTGTCTGACCGAGCCAGCTCGTTTGAGTTCAGCGAGAGCTTCAGCAGTTACTTTGTAAGTTGTTGTTTTTTAATGATACTTATCCAGCCAGTTACTTGTATGTTTTTACCCTTTTTTTAGCTGTTTGCATTCAAAATTAACTGTATTGTTTTTGTCTCTACAAGTTTAACAAAGGCATGGTACCTCTGGGCAGTGTTTGCTCTGAGGATGATGAAGTCAGTGAAAACTATGTCCCCATGAGTGCTGCCACTGCTGAGCCACCAGTTGCACCGAGGTGAGTAATAAGCCTTTTGTTTTACAGAAAGTTCCTCTTTGAAAGCTTAAAGTAAGGACTAAAACTTGTTACCGTCTCTAATGTCTGGTATGCCAGTGTGTATTCCAGGTATTACGCTCGATAAAGTTGATTTTTTGTCATAATCAACCATCTCTGCCGTTTAGGCTTTTTAAGTTTTCCTAGACTGTGGGTACACAGATTTTTTATCCTTTTCTTTTGCTCCAGGATGCCTCCTGGTGCTCCCTCACATCCCTCTGACCAGCCTCAAGAGGGAAACTATGTGCCGATGACCCCTCTGACTTCTTCCCTCCCCACTCACCCCATTCCCCTGACCAGCAACCTGGCATTGCTGGGGAGGCAAGTTCCTCCACCCGCCCACATGGGATTCCGCAACTCCCCGCTGACTCCAGTAGTTCCTTCGCCCCACCGACGGAATACCCTCGGAGGGGAATCTGAGGCCACGCCCCCTCCGATCCACCGCAACCTGAAGCCCCAACGGAAAGGTGAGAGGGAACTGTTCGGGTGGAAGAAAGGTTGCCCCACACACTCACCCTCAATGCTTACAACAGATCAGTTTAAAAAAAAATTTAATCAAAAATCACATAACTTACTAAGTCTGTCTTTATTCAACAACCACTGGAGTGCTTTTTCTGTAAATTCAGTCATAGAAAAATTGTACTTTATGTTGGAGATAAAAGCAAGGATGTATCATGTTTGTCAAAGAATCATTCTGTAACTGGCTATAATCTTCTTTTAAAATGTCATTGCTTCACTGCTGCCTCCATTCCGTTCATGTCAACCTTAATCAGTCTTGCGAGAGATCTAGATTTGTTTGATCTTTCAATCAAATGGATCCCACCAACGACATGCCCATGAAAGGATTTCAGTTCAATTTTCACTACTTTTGTTCATGTCATGAGAGCACAGGTTGATGCTTCCTCATGCTTTGCACATTTTCAGGAGCTTGTGCCAACCAGGGTGTGGAAAAAAATGACAGCCCCACAGCCAGAGATCACACACATAAAACAAAAGGTACAGACCATGATCTTTATTCTTTTTAAATATCAAGAGGATAATTTCTTCAAAATATAGTACACCTAATTGACCAACGTTGTTATGGAAATTGAATGAATTTGTCTTTTAAAACATCCAAGAAATGAAAAAGAAAAAAAGAGACTGTTAGCTGTCACAGCTAAAATGTCCCATGTCACATTGAGCAGTAATATTTTAAACATGGATAGAATCTCCAAAGCTCATAAAACTCCCGCTGTCGGGCTTATGAGTAAACGTCTCTGTAGCACTTTATGATGGAAAATGAGAAGGAATAATGATAACAATTTTTTAACAAAGTGACACAAACTAAAAGTTAATGAGCTAAAATGATACATCAATAAATACATCTGAAATCAGAACATTATCTCATCTTAAAGTTGTAAATTGATGCACAGTTTAAATGTTTCCAACAAAGACGTCCTGGTGGTACTTCTTTATTACTTATCTTTTTGTTCTACAGATGTTAACTGTAAAACCACTTCTTTAAGGAACATGATAAAGCATGAAATGACAGTTTCTGTTCCTGCATTAGTTCATAGTGTCTCTCTCTCTCTCTCTGCATTCCTCCCTGCAGGTCCTGCTTTTGCCTCTTTCACTTTTAATTATTTACCTGCTCCCACTTTGCTTGACAGCAGCATTAGCAGCATGCACGGAAATCCATATCAAAACATATGAAGAAGCTACTTATAGAAACCCTCAAACGAAATATTAACGAGGGTTGAGTGACAGTTTCTTTAAAACTCAGCTCTTCTCTTGCACTCCGCAGCAAGCCGATGGTTTCAAACCTGGCCTGACTTGGTATTTTATTTAGGTCTAGGTTTATAAGTTCTCAGCATCATTACAAAGGTTTTATAAAGATTTCACATTTTTATAGGGGACAAACTAAATAAATGAGGCTGTTTACTTGTTAAGGATGATACCGCAGTAGCATCTCTGGTTCCCCTCAGGGAATTTATAGAATTTAGTGTGGACAAAGCAGACAATGTTGGTCATAATAATGAAAAAGACTGTAGCAAAAGTTACAGGCAGATTTTTTTTTTAAATGCCATCTCTCCTCTCTCTCTTAGTAAGGCCTGCCCCTTTGGAAATTGCACCCCTGCCCCAGGACTGGCAGGAAGTCCCGCCCCCGATCCGCTCCCCTGTCACTCGAACCTTTACACGAGGGTAAGTTTGTGAATGTCTGTGGTTGTGAGAGGCTATAGCTTTTTACAGCATTATAAAAAAAAACACACCCCACGCTGTCACGTGTCATCTTAAGAAGGCCCGTGTAAGGAACAGAAATGAGGTGTGTGAAGGAGTGATGCTTTGGTCTGCTGCCATCTTGTGGCGAAAGACGGAGCGTGCAGAGATGATGAAGGAATACTAAAGTGAAAATGTAGCCTGAAAGTGTTTGGATATCAATAGCACAAAGAGTACAAACAGTATTCCAATATGCTATTGGAGGGGGTTGTTTAAAACCATGTTAAATGACTGATCATTATTCTTATGTTAACGAATTTCGTGTGGGACTTTGTGTTTACAGGCCATCCAGTTGTCGGTCAGCCAGACCCAGCTCTGCTCAAAGCTCTTCCCCGTCTTCTGATTCTGATGATCCAGATGACAGTTACGTCGCCATGACAACATCCGGCCTCAGCTTTAGTGCTGGGGAAACGGTAAAGCACTCTTCTTCCTTCCCCACTTCTCACTTTCCTTCCTCTTGTCCCAACAATCCTCACGTCCTTGTTTTACTTTTTCTCATTCCTTCCATTCCATCATTTACTTCCTTAACCCCTCCCATTTGGGGCACGCACACCCAAACTGTGTCCATTTAACCGAGCTCTCAACGCGTGTGTCCTGCAGTCTCTGAGAATGATGCTGCACAGGGGCTCAGAGGGTGGAGTGAACAGCCCAGTACTACAGCGAGCCAAAGGTGAAAAACAGGTTGAGTACCTGGACCTGGACCTCCACACTGGCAGAAGTACACCAACAAGACAGGTAACAAATTTCTGTCACAAAAACGCTCTTGTCCCACATTATACTGCATTATGCTGTATTATTCAAACTGTTCCCACAAGCCTGGATTATGCATGCCATTTTTAAATGACTCAACATGAAAAAAGCTTCATTTGAGATCAGCGTTGAACTTTTCATCGTGTGTGTACCAGAAACGCTGCACAGCGGACGGAGGATCCAGCAACAGCGAGCAGGCCGGAACAGGGGAGGGGCGCGCACGGGGCGAGCGCACGCGTGTGGACTATGTGGTGGTGGACCCCAAAAGGACCAAGGCCCTGAAAAACACCCGAGAAGCTTGGCACGATGGCAGAATGTCCACAGAGAAGGAAAAAAGCTAAAGACACTCAGGATACAATACAAATACAATACTCCATTCAAGATTAAAAACCTGCTTACTCCCAGAGAAAAGTATAGTCATTAACCTTTAATTTATCCCCAAACATGTTCAGATAAAATCCCAGCTATCATTTTCAGTCATTTCGATGCCACCTGGTCATTAATTGAATTTATTCTAAAGTTTTTTTTTGTTTTAAAGTCAATTTAGTGCAAGAATGTTTCTCCAGAGATAATTTTGTTTTTTCTTTTCACTGTCATAAAATCCTGTAGGACACCAAATCAAAGTTGATAGATTTTGTTTGTTATTTGACATTATCTGACTTCAATCAGAAAACTTCTGAATTAATTATGTTTCTTTTATCCTAAAGAAAAAAAGCCCACTATAAATGAAGGACACACATGGAAAGAATCAGGGATTTGTTTCAATAGTTTGCTGTGATGTGCTTGTTACAATACTCACAATACTTGATTGTTTAACCTCACAGCCTATCAACCTGAGAGTTCCTTATTTATTTGCTCACTTTTCTTGTTTTTTTCCCCAAAAGTGGACATTTTGTTTGTCCTGTAAACATTTTTTCAAACTTTTCCCATCACAGAAAGACTATCTTTACCCCGCACATTGTGATTTCACTACTTTCATGGTTTTGTTACGGGAAATGTTTCTCCTGGAGAGACCCACAATTGTCTTCAACAGCATATGCTATGAGATAAGAGTTTTCCAGGTAATTCCAAAAGAGCAAACCAAATTTCATCCAAAACTGTGTAGACTCTTGGTGTTAGCTTTCTGCTGGGATCATAATGTAGAATTTTTTTTATGCCGACTATCTTCTTCTGTGATCATCCCAGAGTGAAATGTTTCAAACCTTTAAACATGACAAACAACAATGATCTGTGACTGTTAAATTATATAATCACAGTAGGAATAAATAAACAGTGCACTCACTGGTCCTCCTCTGTGTCTCCATTCTTTTCAATGCCAATGTCAAACTAAATCCAATGTGTTTGCAGCATAATGCAAATCTTTTAAATTACATGATGTGTGAGTAACAGTGCTGCATAGACAAGTTTAACGCAACAACAGCAAATTCAAAGTCCCTATACATTTAAAAAAGTTCAGTCAATCTTGAACATATAACAATGTGCTTTGAAAGACGACTATGAAATGAAAAACATTTAAAAAGCAAATGAGTCAGTTCTTGACACTGTCAGCTTATCATGGTTCATGAAAGCAAGGACGATTAGCTCAGTATCAGATACCGGCTCGGGCTAAAATGCAACATGAACAAGATAGAGAGTTTAATCTGAAAGACGAAGAAGCAAACGGTTGCCCTGATCTCTGATTAACAGAAAGTGGCACACATTTGATCTTAAGAATGGAGCAGCTGCACAGTGCTTCTCTTCCTCTGCATGCTTTCTATAGCATGACACTGATAGTCTGCTGATGTCAGCAACACCTTTTATCATTCAGAACATTTACGTCAATATGCCGACATATCAGCGGGTCAGCAGTCTAAATCTCATTTAAGGCAGTAAAGAATTGGTCATTTATTTATCTGTGAAGTTGGATTCTAAAGCCCCTCTCATGTGTCTTTTTAAACCGTGAATGACATGTTTCAATTGGCTGCTGCTGAGGCCACCTGACCTGTGGATGGATACAGTGATTTGGGGCTGATTGGCATGCAAATTGAGAGGAAGAACAGCAGCAATGCAACAATATTACTCAGTCTGAATAAGGGACTTAGTCTTTTATCTATCTTAACATCAGCAATAAAAACATCCATCCATCCATCCATTATCAATACCGCTTAGTCCCTCATGGGGTCGCGGGGGAACTGGAGCCTATCCCAGTGGTCAACGGGCGAGAGGCAGGGTACACCCTGGACAGTCCGCCAGTCCATCACAGGGCCACACACAGGACATACAAGGACAAACAATCACTCACACTCACATTCACTCCTAAGGGCAATTTCCCCAATCTCCAATCAGCCTAACATGCAGGTTTTTGGACTGTGGGAGGAAGCCGGAGAACCCGGAGAGAACCCACGCAGACACAGGGAGAACATGCAAACTCCACCCAGAAAGGTCCTGGTTCCCCCGGGATTCGAACCCAGAACCCTCTTGCTGGGAGGTGACAGTGCTAACCACCACACCACCGTGCCGCCCCCAATAAAAACACTAAATGAAAATAAATTATAGATCATCAGAAAAATGTATTGAAATCTGAGCCCGATCAATTCTTAAAAACAACATCAGCAGAATCAACTCTCACTCAAAGGTTCTTCTAATAGTTTTGAAGTCAGTAAGTTAGTTGAATAAAGAAGTGCATTTTTGCCAAATAAATGGTTAACTTTTTGATATATTTTTGGGATAAATTTTACATTTGAAATGTATGAATTTTCAAAATATCCCCAAAGAATTCAGAGGTTAAATGCATGTTGGCTATTGTGGAGTGGAATATAGAAATGTATTTCTATGCAAATGTTTAAAACAGGATTCAAACTAAATATATTAACTAAATCTTAATTTTAAAAGATTTCTAAACTTTAGTGTTAAAGCATTTTCTAATAAGTAGTTCAAGGGCTGACCTTCCACCTAAAAGATAGTAAACCGGCAATGATTTTTTATCCATCCATTTGTATTACGAAAACATGGGTGATTAACTTAGAAGACCTTCTGACAACTCCAACTCCACCCTCTCCCTGTGCATCTTTCCGGGTGTGGAAAGCAGACACTGGACATAAAAGGAACAGTGACAGAAGGACAGGCAGAGCGGCACCTTCCACAGAGACTCCATCAGACAAATCACTCAAACTACTGCAAGTTAAGCAAAGAACACCTAAACAGAGACGGATTTGAACCACTGAAGGTAAGACAAGTGAGATTGCCGTGCTGATATTCTGCCCAGTGTAACAGACAGCAAGGCTTAATGATTTTAATTTCAACTAACTTAAACTTCAATGTCTTATTTACAAAAAACTAAAAAAACAAAAAAACTTTGCAGCTTGTGTTGTTCAGAATAGACTTGGACGGTTTTAATGATGACGGATTAAAAAACACATTACAAAACTGGATACAATGTGTCTAATATAAGGTATTCTCTGATCCAAATTGTCCTAATTAAAGTTGTATTGCATAAAGTTTTTTCCACAAAAACAAATTGAGGATGACCTCAGATGGGACTCCACAGTCTGAATGAGAGGAAACTTTATCTCGCACTTTTAAAAAAAAGTAAATGAACATTTCTGAAACTGGAACTATTTGTCAAATCAACAGTGTGAGAGCTGATTGGTCCCCTCTCCAACATGCTGTGCCTTGTGCTCTACCTGTGTGCTCTCATCACACTGACAGGTAAGTAACGCACAAAGCAGCCGGTGGTAGAAAACCTTTCCCATAATTTGCCTGATTCAAGACACGAAACCACAAATGGACCATTCATGTCAAATCAGGAGTAGATGGACTGATACATTTATATTATTTGATGCTTTCAAAAGTATGTTTTGTCACAGTGTCAATGGTAATTCTCCTAAAAACATCTGATCCTAAAAACATCTCATGCATCTCCAACCCTGCAGGTGCTTCTCCGTTGTCATTTAGTACAAGCAAAGAGTTTGACATCAGCTCCTGTCCCATTGCATATTATCAACAGGTCTACAACCAACTCTTTGTGAGTAGCATGAAAACACTTGATGGTTAATAATGCTTGTGGGTCATTCCACCCAAGGTGTGCTCATGATAGTTGCATGCTGCCCTATTTCAGCCCACTTCTGTTCTAAGGTGTTATTTTAGCCTGGGTATATGTAAGACTGCATCAAATTTTTGTTCTCCCATAATAGAGTCTTATATGGATTTACATACATTAGCTCAGAGGTTGCAACTTCTGTAATGTTGATTGAAAACACTGTTTCTGCTTGAGATA